TGATTTGCATTTCCCTAACAGCTAGTACTCCTCAACATTTTTTTCATTTGTCTGTTGGCCATTTAGATTTCCTCTTTTGAAAACTGCCTGTTTAAGTCCTTTGCCTATCACTTAACTGGGTTGTTTGTTTTGTTGTTGTTGAGTTTCTTGATCTCTTTATATATTCTGGTTATTAATCCTTTATCAGTTGCGTAGTTTGCAAATATTTTTTCCCATTCTGTTGGTTGTTTCTTCACTTTCCTGAGTGTTTCTTTTACAGCACAGAAGCTTCTCAATTTGATGTAATCCTGTTTGTGAATTTGGGCTTTTATTGCCTGTGCCTCAGGGTATTTTGTATTTTTTGTTCCAATTTTGTTTATTTTCTAATTTTAATTATTTCTTTTCTCCTACTAGTTTTGGGTTTGGTTTGCTGTAGTTTTTTCTAGATCCTTGAGATGCATTGATAGCTTATTTATTTGTGCCTTTCCAATTTCTTGATGTAGTACCAATTGCTACACACTTTCTTCTTAACACTGCTTTTGCTGTATCCCATACATTTTGATATGTTGTATTGTAATCTTCATTTGTTTATAGAAAATTTTTGATTTCTTCATTGACCCATTGTTCATTCAGGAGCATGTTGTTCAGTCGCCATCTGTTTGCATATGTTCTAGAGATTCTTGAGTTGTTTATTTCAGCTTCATCCCATTGTGGTCAGAGTAGATGCATGGTTGATTTCAATTTTTTTGAATTTGCTGAGACTTGCGTTGTGACCTAGAGTGTAGTCTATCCTAGATAATGTTCCATGCAATGGTGAGAAGGATGTGTATTCTGCATCTATAGGATGAAAATTTCTGTAGATATCCATTGGGTCCATTTGGTCTATATTGTCGATTAAATCTGCTGTTTCCTTGCTGATTTTCTGTCTGGTTGATCTGTCCATTGCTCAAAGTGGAGTATTGAAGCCCCCCAATACAATTTTATGGGAGGGAATCTATGTCTCTCTTTAGGTTCATTGACATTTATTTTAAATAGCCAGGTGATCTATAATTAGATGCATATACATTTACAATAGTCAGACCTTCCTGTTGAATTGACCCCTTAATCATTACATAGTGCCCTTTGTCTATTTTAACAGATTTTGTGTTAAAGTCTATTTGTCTGATATTAGGATGGCTACACCAGCTCTTTTTTTGGTTTCTGTTAGCATGGAATATCTTTTTTCATCCTTTCACTTTCAGTCTGCGTGGACCTTTGTTGGTGAGATGTGTTTCTTGTAGGCAGCAAATAGATGGGTTTTGTTTTTTAATCCATTTAGTCAGTCTGTGTCTTTTAACTGGAGAGTTGAGGCCATTTACATTCAAGGTGACTATTGATAAGTAATGACTTGGCCCTGCCATTTTCCGTAAATATTCCTATTTTTTTATTTGGACTTCCTTTTTACTTTTAATGGGGGATTTTACACCTTCACCTCTTTCATCGTGATGACCATGTTTCTATGTTTCTGTGTGTAGCACATTTTTAAACATCTTTTGTAAGGCTAAAAAGATGGTGACAAATTCTTTCAATTTCTGTTTGTTATGGAAGGTCTTTATTTCACCTTCATTCATAAATGAGAGCTTTGCAGGGTACAATATTCTAGGTTGACAGTTTTTCTCTTAAGAATTGGAATATATCTTGCCATTCTGTCCTAGCCTGTAAAGTTTTGATGAGAAGTCAGCTGTGAGTCTCATTGGAGATCCTCTGAAATTAATCTGGTATTTCTCTTGTGCACATTTGAGACTCTTTTCTTTACATTTAATATGTCTTGGTGAAGATCTTTTCTGGTCATGTCTATTAGGAGTTCTGTGTGCTTCCTGTATTTGGATGTCCCTTTCTTCTCCAAACCTGGGAAGTTTTCTGCTATTATTTTTACTAAAAATTTCTTCTAATCCTTTTTATCTCTGCATGCCTTCAGGAACACCTATGACCTCTATGTTGGGTCTTTTGATAATAATCCCATAAGTCTGCAACACTGTTTTTTTTTTTTTTCTAATTTCTTCTTCTTTTTTTTTTTTTTTTTTTTTTTTTGCCTAGTCTGGGTGTAAAATTTCCAGAGATTTGTCTTCTAACTCAGATATTGTTTCTTCTGCCTCACCAAGTCTGTTGTTTAGGTTTTATACCACATTTTTATTTGTTCTGTTGAATTCTTCATTTCCCATATTTCATTTTGATTTCTCTTTAAAATCTCAATTTCATGGGAAAATTTTTCATTCATATCATATACGAATTTCTTTAGTTTGTAGATTTACTTCTGATTACTTCTAAGAAATCTTACTATCAATTTTTTTTATTTGACAGATAGAGATAGACAGTGAGAGAAAGACGGAGAGAAAGGTCTTCCTTTCTTTGGTTCATCCCCCAAATGGCCGCTATGGCTGGAACTAGGCCAACCCAAAGCCAGGATCCAGGTGCTTCCTCCTGGTCTCCCATGCGGGTGCAGGGGCCCAAGGACTTGGGCCATCTTCCACTGCTTTCCCAGGCCACAGCAGAGAGCTGGACAGGAAGTGGAGCAGCCAGGTCTCAAACCAGTGCCCATATGGGATGCCGGTGCTTCAGGCCAGGGCGTTAATCCACTGCACCACAGCACTAGCCCCACGATCAATTTTTAGAATTCCATTTCTGGCATTTCTTCAATCTTTATCCTCACATTCTAGTATTGAAGTGTTTGTATTCTTTTAGGGGCGTCATGTTGTCTTCCTTATTCTTCTTTCTTGAATTGTTGCATTTATTATTAGGAATTTGTGGAGGTACTTATTAAGGTTTTCTGTTTTTTTTTTTTTTTCCCTGTGATGGCTTTTATCTTTGGACTATTCCTCTGTGGCTTAATGGAATGTCCACCTTTTTAATGAATACCCAGAGGCATGTGCTGGATGTGGTAAGGGAGCTCTGTTCAGTGCTCCAGGGTGAAGGGAATGTCCAAGGTGACAACTAAATTGAGTGTGGTAAATCTCTCTCTTTTTTTTTATCAGAGAGGAGGCTTTTTCTGCTCTATTGGCATATTTTCATGCTCATCACCTCTCCTCAACAGAGACTAATGCCTGGGTGCTAGCCCCAGTGGGTACAGTTTATGTCAGTGCTGCCATAAGAACCACACAAAGGATCCATGTAGTCCTCAGTGTGAGCACAGATCCCACAGCAATGACCCTCACCAGGACTCAGGGAGCCCTGAGTGTGTGGAGCCTCCCACAGTGACTGCCCAAAGTCACCACTGCACCCTGAACCCTCCCACACAGCCACAGTGTTTTCAGTGTCCTAGCACACAAGGCTCCCATGGGCATGAGTACCCAAGCCCCTGTCAATTCTCCCAGCCAGACTTGGGTGTCTCCTCTAGGTGGGTTGCTGTGTGCCCAGACATGAGTTGGTGCAGCTGTTATGTATGTCCAAAATGGTGTTTGCCCTCTCTTAGCTAGTTACAGGACATGGGTGCCCAGTGGTCGGGGAGAGAGAAATGTGCTTTTCCCCCTTTTTTCCTCTAGGTTGGCTGGTACTCTGTCCCCCACAGGGCTCTAAACCAGATTCACACCAGGCTCTTCCCACATCTTTATCACTAATGGCTTGGGCTGCTACAGTCTGGTCTCACCTCACTCTCCAAAGCTGAGGTTGCTGGGGTCTTGAGTTTTGCATGTCCACACCTGTCAATTAGGTCAACGGTGCCCCTCTAATTTGCGTGGAGTTTCCTCTGCTGTTTTCTCCTTAACTCTTCCCTGAAATTTTACTCTCTCCACTTTCTTTTGAAACTATCTTTCCCTAGACTAGAGCAATGAGCTTTCTCCCCAATCTGCCCTCTTGGAAAACCTTCAAGAGACTTTCTTGACTACTTGGAAGAAGCTCCTGGCTTTGGCCTGGCCAAGTCCTGGATGTTGCAGCATTTTAGGTAATGGAGCAGGAATGGAAACTCTCTCTCTGTCTGTTCCTGTCTCTATAATTATGACTTTCAAAAAAGTAAAAGTAAATCATATCTTAAGAAAAAGCAAATGGTTCTTCTATCATAGCAATTATCTAATATTTTAATATCTAATATTGTATATTTTATTATAATTTATAATATATTATTATAACAATGTTATAAATGTAAAATTTTTTAAAAATATTTATTTATTTGAAAGGCAGTGTTACAGAAAGAGAGAAGGAGAAACAGAGAGAAAGGTCTTCCATCCACTGGTGCACTTCACAAATAGCCACAATGGCCATAGCTGGGCTGATCTGAAGTCAGGAGCCAAGAGCTTCTTACAGATCTCCCATGTGGGTACAGGGGCCCAAGTACTTGAGCCATCTTCCACTGCTTTACCAGGCCATAAGCAGAGAGCTCAGAAAAGGAGCAGCCAGGACATGAACTGGCGCCCATATGAGATGCCAGCACTGTAGTCAGAGGCTTAGCCTACTAGATTACAGCACCAGCCCTTTTAAGCTGTTTTAATAACAAAGTATAGCTATACAATGTTGAGGTGATATATAAGGCACTTAATTTTTCTTTTCAGAGTGAGAAAGCACCTTATTAGAACAGACCCTCATTAGGACTGAAATTAATATTTTAAACAAGCAGGAAATTAATCATCTAGTTCTGACTGCCAGGCCTGCAGGTATACAGTATTTTCTAGATGGCCATCATAGCTACAAAGAAAATGCCAGAGTGAGACAAGCACACAGCTGTTGCCTGAACTGAAAGTACCTAATTAAATGCTCAAATCTCTGTTCATCCTTTGCCACTGAGGTGGAGATTTCATATTGTTTTTCATTATTTATCTTCTTATCTTCATTTAATAAGATTCTTCAGCACACCTACCACAATTTTGGGTAGGGCACATGTCCAACCAGCAAGAGATTACTTTTTCCAGCCTCGTTATAGCTGTGTGTCGTCGTGTGCATGCTCCCACCAATGAGGTGTGAAATGAAGTGATATGTGCAATTTACAATTTACAATTTTACATTATCAAAAACAAATTTGATTATACTCTTGTTTCCCATTTTTTCATTCCCAGGGATTAGGATGGAGATGAGCTTACGTGACAGTTAATCCAGTTTGACCATGGGGACTGGAGCAACATCCTGGAGGAGACCTGAGTGACAAGATAAAAGGGACCTGGATCCTTGCTCTCTGGAAAGGCACAGCAACTTGTCCATCCTGGATTGTTTGCTCATGTCTGGTCTGTTATGAAAAAGAGAAAGAGTGCTAAACTCCTATCCCATTTTAGTCAATATATTTGGGCTTTTTGTCCAAGCAACCTAGCTCATACCCTCAAAGAGCCACAATCTCCATGGTGATGATACCTGGTGGTCTAGGTCACATCTATGATGGTCCCCAGTGATTCATGCCTCCTGGAGATCCATGAATACCTTTGAGTAATCCTGATCTCTTGCATGTTTGCTTGCCTAGTGGCTCTCCTCTAACTAATAGAATGTAATAAAGATGATGGGGTGCCATGTCTGTAGTTAATATCTAAAAGAATAAAAGACTGACATCAATATTTCAAGTTATCAAGTTGGAGGGTCCCATGTTGCATGGAAGTGTAGGTGGCCTCTGATCAACAAACAGCAAGTAATGGAAATCCCCAGTTCCACCATTTGCCAGCAACTATGGGAATTTGGAAACAGATCCTTGTCTGGATGAACTGCAAGATGACTGCATCCCAGCTGACTTCTTGTCTAGAGTCTGTAGGAGTCTGATGTGCAGGAACTAGCTAAGCAATGCCTGGGCTCCTAACTGACACACAGAAAATGTGAGACAACGAATGTGGTTAAATTTGGGGATAATATGTTATGCAGTAAAAGTAACTAATACTTTTTAGATATAAGTTTACTTTTGTACAATGATAAGCCATAGAAGCATGTTGAAATCAGGAAATGAATTTTAAGATATCACAGAAGGAGGTGGGATACACACTAATGTTGGACCACAAAAGACATCAGTTCTTAGCCATGAATTCCAGGGCTTGATCTACTTTGGAAATCCATAGACCTGATTTGCTAGCCAGTCCAGGGTTCTACAGGCTCAGGAAAACTTAACTGGCTAAACAAACTCCCAAGAGAGTTATATCAATTTCACCATACTAATTTATTAATTCACCTAGATAAACAAATCACCAAGTAGATCAGATAAATTTGGTAGAATTTTTCAAGGCTCATTTAAATGTTGCCTTCTTTTCTCCTTCTAGTTTCTTATAGAAAAATCTCAAGTAAACACACATACATCACACATTTTCATTTGCAGACCAGAATTTTATGAGCTGTTAGATTGATACCATTGCTTGGTACACAGCTTGCTTCCATAATCAGCCATGCCTTGATTAAGACTTTTAGATCTTTTTAAGCCTTCTAGGTCCTGGTAGGTATCCAGAAACCCATCTGGCCTTTTTTCTTAGAGTTGAGTCTTGCTCAGGTGCAAGATACTTTTCATCCCAGTCTTTTGGAATCCTCTGTCAAAACTTTAATTGGACTTTGGTCACTAATGCAGTCCATCTGCAGTACCCTTGCTGCCTGTGCTATGCTGGCTTTCTGTTTTCTGTGATGATTGCAATGACTCCTTTACACATTGTAATATGTACTTCTTATGCCCCACCTTGCATTCTCTCTGCCCATTTTTTACTCTCTCCATTGCCATGACAAGCAGCACTAGGAAGGTATAACCCTGGCAGCATAATGTGTTAGTTGTACTTTGTTATCATTTGATTTCTACCTGGGACTTCTTAGATGGCTTTGAGTGAGATTCCTGGAGAAACTTGCCTGGCACTCCTGCTGCTGTAGCCTCAAAAAAAGGGAGGTCAAGCCCCCCAGTCAACCCTTGACTAAAAGGAAATGAAGAAGATGAATAAATTCTGAGATTTATTATATATGACTTCTTAGGAGTATCTGAAAGCAATATAGAGCCTTTTTCACCCACAGTTGCATTTACTCAAGAACATGGCTTTGAATTGGTATTTTATCCCTCCCTGCTTCACCTTTCCTATTTCTCCATTTCTAGTGGGATCTTTTCCCTAGGCTAAATACATGCAAACCCTTGGCTCAGGCTCTGCTTTCTGGGAGGACCTGGCTAAGACTCACTTCAGAAGCTCATCTCATGTAGGCTACCTCTCTCTGTTGTTATTACTTAATGATTTCCTTGTCATTACTCCACTGAGATCTGAGATCTTTGGCCTTTGACACTTTCCCTTTACTCCTGCTATTGTCCTACAGCAAGGATGACTAATCTACCACCCAAGCATTACAGATTGTTATGGCATTCTTTGCGTATAGCATTCTTGCTGGAAACTGATATTATTCTGCACAGCTCCATTTCCACAATCTCAAACACCAATATCCCATTCTTGGACATCAATATTCTCTTTATCCAGTTTCCTTATTCTTCTCAATGAAGTTTAAATACTTCAACAAGACCCCTGGTGCTTTGCCTTCTCTATTTTCGTTCCCTTCCCTATCCATCCTAGAGCTCATGGTTAATTATTTCAATCATCCTCTTTACCCTCCCACTCCTGTATATTTTGCCTTCTGAGACTTATTTTTGTCATCTGATGATTCCATTCATAATCAGGCAGCTGAGCACTGCTCTAGAAAATCACTCCATCAGGCTGAATGATATCACTCTAAACATGGACACTAAACTCAGATATTCCTCTCTAAGCCTGTCTTATTATATACCCTGTTTTCATGCTATCATAGCAGACTGTGCATTTGACACATGCATGCATCATTTAGCTCATACTTAATGAGACCCTGTTATATGCCACATGTTTCACTAAGAGTTAGGGATGGAATTCTGAGCAAATAGGATCTTTGCCTTTTGTGATATTTACATTATTCTCTCGCATACTGCAATCATTATACTGTGCTTACTTGCCTCCAACATCAGATCAACCTTGTCATTTTATTTATATTTTAATCCAAAGAGTATGGCATGTAATTTGGAATTTATATATTTTTGTTATATAAATGAACAAGTGAATTTAAAAAATAATTACTGCTGATAACTAAGCCTACCAATAATAGCCAGATTTTCCTATTCAACATTCACAGGGTAATCTGTACTCAATGTGGGCCCCTGAGTACTGACTGCAAGGTGCATGATTAAAAAACATGCATCATATCTACTTCACAACTCCAACTGTTAAGTTATTTTCCATTAAGATATAAAATTTATGGGCTGGCACTGGAGCTCATTTGGTTAATCCTTCGCCTATGGCGCCGGCATCCCATATGGGCGCCGGGTTCTAGTTCCAGTTGCTCCTCTTCAGTCCAGCTCTATGCTGTGGCCTGGGAGAGCAGTGGAGGATGGCCCAAGTGCTTGCCCCCCTGCACTCGCATGGGAGACCAGGAAGAGGCACCTGGCTCCTGGCTTCAGATCGGCACAGCGCTGGCCGTAGCAGCCATTTGGGGAGTGAACCAACGGAAGGAAGACCTCTCTCTCTCTCTCTCTCTAATTCTACCTGTCATATAAAAACGATATAAAATTTAAATGAATCAAAGCAGTACAATTTCCTTACTATAACTCGTATGGGATTTCCTTTCCACATCTAGTAAGTTCTGCAGCCTTTCATCTCTGCCTCCATGTTTTTCTCCAGGTCTCTTCTAGTTAGGTACTTGGTCTGCTCTGGATAATAATTTCTGAGTTTCTGTGGGCTATACTGGGGTATCTAGGAACAATCTAGATTATCATCCATTTGCTTACTGATTGGAGAAGACTTCAAATGTAAAAGGGTCGTGAAAAATGTGTATTATGAAAAAACTAAGCATAGCTTCATTTTTCCCATAAAAACAAACTTTTAATACCACATTCTGGGAACTTTTTGAAATATCCTAGTATGGTATTTTTTCATATATTTCCTAGACTGGGCAATTTAGAGAGAAATTTTCTGATTTATGTAAATCCACAACAAGATGGCTATTACCACTTATTCAGTCAGTTCTGCGTTAATCAATCATTTTTGTCTCTAAAATGTGTAACATATAGATGAAAGAAAAGGATTTCAAACTCAATTTGTAATACATACACCAGCATGTTACTAATATCTTGAAGGTTGGTCAAAAAATTATCAGAAAAGGTCTTACAGGAGGATTAATTTATTTTATATCAATAAAGAACTGTATTTTCTTAATCTTTTTCCTTAAAGGCAACATAATGAAAGAATATAAAGTTAATCCATGGTTTGACTTCATGTCCCAGCATGATGGAGTTGTTTTTAGACACTGAGGAGTGCCTGTGAGGGGCTACAGAGCACCTTATAACTCAGAAACTTGGGGTTCCTTTAGGGAGAAAAGGGTACATCAAAAGTACAAGCACAGACTGAGCTTAGCTTTTAATTGAGCTAGGGAACAGAAAGGATACAACATTCATTGTAGAAAGTTAGAAATATGAGGATGTGGGAGCCAAACATAGAACTTCCTCCCTTGGCCTTGTTTTAGCTCTATGCCCTTTGCCACTCCCACCCTCCATGCATGTCCCAGCCAAATGAACTCTTTACTTGACATCCCTCAGGCTGCCCATGTTTTCTCTCCTTCCTCACCTCTGCACTTTATTTTTTTTCAAAGATTTATTCATTTATTTATTTATTTGAAAGGCAGAGTTACAGAGAGGCCGAGAGAGAAAGTCTTCCATCTGCTGGTTCACTCCCCAAATGGCTGCAGTGGCTGGAGCTGAGCGGATCTGAAGCCAGGAGCCAGGAGCTTCTTCCAGGTCTCCCAAGTGGATGCAGAGGCCCAAAGTCTTGAGCCATCTTGTACTGCTTTTCCCAGGCCAAAACAGAGATCTGAATTAGAAGTGGAGCAGCTGGGACTTGAACTGGCACCCATATGGGATGATGGCACTGCAGGTAGCAGCTTTACCAGCTGCTAGCCACAACCCTGGCCCCTGCATTTGCTCTTACTACTGCCTAAAGGACACTTCTTCTCCCCTTCTCAATCCTTCTCTAGTTATCCTAAATAAAGGGATAAATGGGCTAGGGGATTTTGGAGTATGGTCCCATTTCACTCTGTTTTTCCCTGGCCACTTGAGCATGCTTTATTTGAATTGCTTTGCTTGACTGTTCATTTCTTCCACCAGAGCAAAGACATTGTGGGGGTAGGGACCATGTCCGTATTGTTTTCTAGTATAGTCCTAGTACTCAGCTCAGTGTCTGGCTGGGATATAAGAAATGCTTTGTGAATGAATGAACTTATAACCTCTCCCTCCACAACTGACTTATCCTTCTGAACTGACCAATGTACACAAGTTTGGCCTGCATTTTCCTGTCTACTCTAGAGTCAGGGATGCCAACCCAGTCATACATCCTATTGTGAAATTTCCCAAGCCACTTTGACTTAAGAATCACTTTAAAATATTGACATAGCATCAACAGGAGATCCAGGAACTTGGTTGATTTACATACCAGAAAAATGAAAGCCAAAAACCAGTGTCATCCGGGATCTGATTGCTTTTTCTTATTTAGAACTTTATATGACAATGAAAATATTTCTACGTGGCCCTACGTGGATTTCTAGGAAAAACATTCTATTTGCCATATGGGGTAATGGGTTTGGGTATACAATTGTCTGTCATTATCCATGGGGAATTGGTTTTAGGATGCCTCACAAAAATCTGAGGATAGTTAACGTCCTTATAAAAAAAAGTGCAATATTTGCATATAACATATGCATATTATCCTATATAATTTAAATAATCACTTGATTACTTGTGATACCTAATAAAATATAAATGCTATATAAATAATTGATATTCTATATTGTTTAGGGAATAATGACAAGAAAAACATCTGCATGTTTTCAGTACAGATGTAGTTTTTTTCTGGTATTTTGTAAAATCTGCAGTTGATTGAATCCATGGATAGAGCACCTGCAGATAACGGAGTGCTACATGTGGCCTGTCTGGAAGAACTGGAAGACTAGAGGGGCACATCAGTAGGGGAAGGAGGGAAGGCAGATACAGAGACAGCAGAGCTGGCAGCGAGCAGAATAGCGGAGTTTCTCGGGGAGTGGTGTCCCAAGGGAAGTTTTGAAATGAAGTCATCCACCATGTGAAAGACACATCTCCATGGTCTTCACATGAACTCTTCAGTAAAATCTATCCTTGCAGTCATGCCCTGTGGAGTGGATTTTCTGATTTGGAAATTTAGAGAAGGGCCGATGATTGCACAGGACACATGGAGAGGCTGCTGCTGGAACAGGTCACTTTCTGAGTGGCCACAGGAAGTCATAACTCAGCAGAGCAACGCATCCAAAAAAAAAAAAAAAAAACCCACAAGTTGAGCTTTAAAAACCTTAGAAACTAATAATTATTGTTAATGAAGATTGTCTTGAAGGAGTGAATTATACAGCAAAAAAACAGAGAAAAACCAACCAGTGTTTAGCATTTTTTCTTTTACTATCAAACCACATTATTCATAGTTGCTGTTTCCAGCCCCTTTTCTCTGCCTCTCAATTTCTGTGTCATTGTTTTCTTTGTGACCTTCTCTATGAGTTCGTTGACATTCTCATAGTTTCTCCCAACTCTAAATCTACCTTTTTATCCCATTAGTACCACAAAGGTACAAGGAACTTAACATAAAACAAAATATTCTTTAAAATATATGACAAGGGAAATGATACAATATTGAAGGTTTAATATTTGTATTTTCTTTCCATAGAATGGTCACAAAAATTTAAAAAATGAAATGCTAAAAAGAAAACAATTTTATCTTACATGTTAATATAAATTGTGGCATTGAAAATGTAGACTTTTTCAGTGAAAGCCAGTTTTGTGTATTTTTAAAATAAATCTTCTTAATTTGGGGAATGATAATATTGAGTCAAAATCCAAATGTGAAGTATAGCATTAAAACTGTTTCACATTTTTCATTCATTGAAAGCAATGCGAAAAATCCCATGTTGTATGTTTTGGGAAAGGAAGAGCCCAAATTGCATCTTTTGAAAATTTTAGTAGGGGCTGGTATTGTCACATAGGGGATTTATCTGTGACACTGGCATCCACAACAGGGTGCAGGTTTGAGTCCTGGTTGCTCCACTTCCAATCCAGCTCCCTACTAATATGCCTGAGAAAGCAGTAGAAGATGGCCTAGGTTCTTGGGCCTCTACCATCTATGTAGGAGAAATGGATGGAGTTCCTGGCTCCTGGCCTCAGCCTGGTCCAGACCTGGCTGTTGTGGCCATTTGGGGAGTGAACCAGAGGATGGAGGATCTGTCTGTCTCTTAGTCTCTTCTCCTCTCTCTCTCTTTCTGTCACTCCGTCTTTTAAATAAGATAAGTAAATCAATCTCTTTTTTAAAAAAAGGAAAATCTTAGTACTATTGCTTTAGATTATTCCAAAATAATTCATTGTTTCTTTTTGGACAGCCTACTCCTAGGCGTTTTTAGAAAGCAAAGTTTTAGTCTTCTTGGATGAAGGTTATTTGATCAACTTTTGCTTATTTGATTCTTGCACAGTTGAGCATCTCAAGATTCTTTTATTTGAAAACATCCTTCTCTGAGTCACAGATCTGTGGAGAATGTGTTTGTGTAGTATAAATATTTAATATAAAAGAAACATTAAATATTAATTTTTGTTGAAATTGTAAGACAAGATACTTAACATACAGCAGTGGTCATTGAATAAATGACATGGATCAACCTGAAATCAATGCTGCTTATGCATCACTGTAGAGGGAGAACATTTTGCATTCTGCTGTCAAGTTATAATTGGTCAAGGCAAGGCTTCTTGGTTCTGGAAGGCTATCACATAATATTTGGGGTCATTGTATGAAAGAATAACTTTCATTTCTCTAAGAACATATAGATGAAAATCAATCACTGATATTGGTTCTATTTATTTTGTTTTCTGGAGGACCAGTTTATGTCTGCAGACACAGTAGTGTTTCAGGCATCCACATTTGGGAAATGCTGCATACGGCAAGGCCAACATTGAGAATACAGACATCTCCAATGCACACAGTGTTGTGTTAGTGATCCCTGATTCCTAGTACTAGTATCTGTATAATCCTCACTCCTTGATTTGTGACTTCCTTTTAATCAATATAGAACAGCAAATAGTGAGATGGGTATCACTTCTCTGATTAGGTTTCATAAAACTGTGACTTCTGTTCTGGTAGCAGGCATTCTTCTTTTCTAGATTTAATAAGGCATGGAGAGAGTCAACAAGGAAGTGAATCCTACCAATGACCACATAAGCTTGGAAGCAGATGCTTCCCCAGTCAAGCCTTCATGTAAGACCCCAGCCCTGGCAGACACCTTTACTGCAGCCTGGTGAAGCATTGAAGCACAGGACCCGTACAAGGTAAACTGAAAAAACAGATGTTATGTGATTATTTGTTACATAATAACAGACAAGTACTCCACCCTAACCTGAATTTTAAGTTGCAATTTAAATATTAATGCTGAACATTTTTTAGTTTTTAATAAGAATATTTATGAAGCCAGGGCTTCCACATAAAATATGAATCACAGATAAGACATTTCTCTTCTCTTTCTTTCCCTTTGAACAAATGTTAGTTCCTTTGGATGACATAAATTGATAAATTATGGATGTTGCAAGATCCTTCTTTAAGTTGATCTTTTTAAAAGTGAATTAATGAAATACCAATCCTCAATTATTGCCACAGGATAAGGTTTAGCCCCTTTCTAGAGTTTTAAAGGAACTAGAAACTATTTCATTTGTACTTTCCCCAGTTCTTTTCAGGCTGGTCCTTTTAAATAACCTTTCTCTGTTCTCTAATTTCTACTGTCTGTTTACACCTTTTCCATAATATGCATATCCTTGAACTTTCTGAAGACCCACTGTTTATAATAGGCCCCTTTTAAAGTACACTGAATCAGGCCGGCGCCGCGGCTCAGTAGGCTAATCCTCCGCCTAGCGGCGCCGGCACACCGGGTTCTAGTCCCGGTCGGGGCGCCGGATTCTGTCCCGGTTGCCCCTCTTCCAGGCCAGCTCTCTGCTGTGGCCAGGGAGTGCAGTGGAGGATGGCCCAGGTGCTTGGGCCCTGCACCCCATGGGAGACCAGGAAAAGCACCTGGCTCCTGGCTCCTGCCATCGGATCAGCGCGGTGCGCCGGCCGCAGCGCGCCGGCCGCGGCGGCCATTGGAGGGTGAACCAACGGCAAAGGAAGACCTTTCTCTCTGTCTCTCTCTCTCACTGTCCACTCTGCCTGTCAAAAAAAAAAATAAATAAATAAAAAATAAAGTACACTGAATCAAATTTACATACTTAAGGGGCCCAGGACTCTGTATTTTGAGTGGTTACAGCCATTTTAGCTATTTCTAACAAACACTAACACCAGCCTGGGGACTTCTGATTTGCAGGGTACAGTGCTTCTGGGCAGGTGTAGCCTCTCCTTCCCTTCTCTTTCTCTCTTGCGTTTTTTTAAATTTAGTTAATAAAAAGAGACTAGATTTCATGCATTCCATAGGTACAATTCCAAGAAGGCAACCACACTTACCTCACTTCCTTATTCCTCCCAATCCCCCCTCTCCCCTCCCCTCTCTTCATCAGTTTTTACAAAGGCATAATCCACTCTATATTCACAGGCTTAATTTGCCACTAATCATAATATTCAACAGGTAAATAGTAAGAAGACCACAGTTCCACAGGAGTATAAACAAGGGCTAAAAATAACAATGATATCCCAAAATGTCCATTTCATTCCTATATATTATTTTGTATTCTATATTGACCGCCACATATTAGAGAAAACATATTTGTCTTTTTCAGTCTGACTTATTTTACTAAGCATAATGGTTTCCATTCTCATCCATTTTGCTGCGAAAGACAGAATTTCATTCTTTTTTATGGCTAAGTAGTATTTCAAGGTGTGTATATACCGTATTTTCTTTATCCAGTCATCAGTGGATGGACATTTAGATTTATTCTATATCTTATCTATTGTGAACTGAGCTACAGTAAATATGGGAGTACAAATAAATCTTTTGTATGCTGATTTCATTTCATTTGGGTAAATTCCCAGGAGGGGATAGCTGGATCATATGGTAGATATATTTTCAGATCTCTGAGGAGTGTCTATACTGTCTTCTATAATGATTGTACTAGTTTACATTCCCAGAAACAGTCATTAGGGTACCTTTTCCCTTACATCCTCACCAGCATCAGCATTAATTGTTTTTTGATTTTTGGATTATAGTCATTCTAACTGGGCTAAGGTGAAACCTCATTGTGGTTTTTATTTGCATTTCCCTGATGGCCAGTGATCCTGAGCATTTTTTCATGTGTCTGTTGGCCATTTGGATTTCATCCTTTGGAAAATGCCTATTCAAGTCCTTTGCCCATTTTTTAACTGGATTGCTTATTTTGTTGGTAGTGAGTTTCTTGAGTTCTTTATAGATTCTGAATATGAATCCTTTATCAGTTGCATGGTTTGCAGATATTTTCTCCCATTCTTTCAATTGCCTCTTCACTTTGCTGAATGCTTCCTTTGCAGTGCAGAACCTTCTTAGCTTGCTGTAATCCCATTTGTCTACTTTTGCTTTGATTGCCAGTGCTTCTGGAGTCTTTTCCAAGAAGACTTTGCCTAGGCCAATGTCTTGCAGTGTCCCCAATGTTTTCCTCTACTAACTTGATGGCATCAAGTTGTAGATTTAGATCCTTGATCCATTTAGAGTTGATTTTTGTATAAGGTGTACAGGTAGGGGTCTTGTTTCAGGCTTCTGCCTGCATAGATACAATTTTCTCAGTACCATTTGTTGGAGAGACTATCCTTTCTCCAGGGAGTGATTTGGGATCATTTTTCAAAGATTGGTCAATTGTAGATGCATGGATTAATTTCTGGGGTTTCTATTCTGTTCCATTGGTCTGCATGTCTATTTTTTGTTTTGATTATAGCTACCCTGTAAGATGTCTTAAAGTCTGGTATTTTGATGTGTTTGGCTTTGTTTTTATTGTTCTTTTAAAAGATTTGTTTATTTGAAAGAGTTACACAGAGAGAAGGAGAGGCAGAGAGAGAAAGGGAGGTCTTCCATCCGTTGGTTCACTCCCTAATTGGCCACAATGGCCAGAGCTGCACTCATCTGAAGCCAGGAGCCAGGAGCCTCTTCCAGGACCCCCATGTGGTTGCAGGGGACCAAGGACTTGGGCCATCTTCCACTGTTTTTCCAGGCCATAGCAGAGAACTGGATTGGAAGTGGAGCAGCTGGAACCCGAACAGGCGACCATATGGGATGCTGGCACTGCAGGCAGTGGCCTTACCTGCTACACCACAGTGCCGGCCCCTGTTTTTATTGTTTAATATTGCTTTAGCTGTT